GAGATCAAATTGCCAACATCTGTTGGATCATCGAAAAACAAGAGAATTCCAGAAAAACATCTACTTCTGCTTTATTGACTATGCCAAAGCCTTTGACTTGTGGACCACAACAAACTCTGGAAAATTCTGAAAGACATGGGAATACCAGACCACCTGACCTGCCTCTTGAGAAATCTGTATACAGGTCAGGAAGCAACAGTCAGAACTGGACATGGAACAACTGACTGGTTCCAAATAGGGAAAGGAATACGTCACCTTTCAAAGGAATTGTCACCCTGCTTATTTAACTTATATGCAGAGTACATCATGAGAAACGTTGGGCTGGATGAAGCACAAGCTGGAATCAAGATTTCCAGGAGAATTATCAATAACCTCAGATATGCAGATGACATCACCCTTACCACAGAAGGCGAAGAAGAACTAAAGAGCCTCTTGATGAAAGTGAAAAAGGAGAGTGAAAAAGTTGGCTTAAAACTCAACATTCAAAAAACTAAGATCATGGCATCTGGTCCCATCATTTCATGGCAAATAGATGGGGAAACAGTGGAAACAGTGACAGACTTTACTGTTGGGGGCTCCAAAATCACTGCAGATGGTGACTGCAGCCATGAAATTGAAAGACTCTTACTCCTTGGAAGAAAAGTTATGACCAATCAAGACGGCATATTAAAAAGCAGAGACATTACTTTGCTAACAAAGGTCTGTCTAGTCAAAGCTATGGTTTTTCCAGTAGTCATGTATGGATGTGAGAGTTGGACTATAAAGAAAGCTGAGCGCAGAAGAATTGATGCTTTTGAACTGCAATTTTGGAGAAGACTCTTGAGAGTTCCTTGGACTGCAAGGAGATCCAACCAGTCCATCCTAAAGAAATCAGTCCTGAATATTCATTGGAAGGACTGATGCTGAAGCTGAAACTCCAATACTTTGGCCACCTGATGCGAAGAGCTGACCATTGGAAAAGACCCTGATGCTGGGAAAGACTGAAGGCAGGAGAAGGGGACGACAGAGGATGGCATCACCGACTCAATGGACATGAGTTTGAGCAAGCTCCGGGAGATGGTGATGGACAGGGAGGCCTGGTGTGCTGCAGTCCACGGGGTCGCAAGGAGTCAGATACGACTGAGCGACTGAACTGACTGATACATATATACGTATATACCTTGAACAGCTCAGGTTTGGATAGTGCACATTTGGACTGCACAAAGTCCACCTACAGGTGGATATTTTTCAATAGTAAATACTATAGTACTACATGGAGAAAGAAATGCCAACCCACTCCAGTATTCTTGCCTGGGAAATCCTATGGATAGAGAAGCCTGGTGGGCTACAGTCCATGGGGTGGCAAAGAGCAGAACAGGGCTGAGTGACTGAGCACACACACATAGTACTACATGGCCTGTGGCTGGTTGCGTCAATGGTTGCGGAAGTACCACAGATTCCAACTAAAGTTATACAGGTTGCTTCTCACAACTCATTCACTGATATCTCATTGGTTTGCTCGTAAGGCCAGCTACCTACCATGGGTCAGAGAAAGGCAGGCAGTCTTTTATTCTGAGCAGCAGTATTCACTGCTACAGATCAGGGTTTCGCTATCATGGAAGAAAGGGACAAAGGACCTAGAGATAGATAACTTCTCATGCCTCCACACTCCCATATCACCAATAAAATTACTACAGGAGGAAGATGAGCTAAATTCATCCTGTGGCTTCACCTATCCCATGGTGAAGGACCATGTGTTGTGTGTGCTCTGGAGTAGTGTTGTGTGAGAAGCTTGGTTTAACAACATAATTTTTAATGACTGCATATATGACTTGTGAAAATTTATAGTTTATTGAATCAACCCTCAATTACTGGACTTTTTATTATTACAAACAACACAGAAATGACATTCTTAAAGCTAAATCATTTCCTTGGGATAAATTTCTAGAGGTGGAACTTTTGGTTCAAAAATATATGTATATTGAACCTTTGAAGAAACACCATTCTCCAGAAATGTACCAATTTATGCTCCCTCTCTTTCATCCTCGGTTTTGTCACCATTTCATATCGTCACTTAACAAGATCTTGGCTAATGTGAAAGGCAATTTTATTGAAATAAACAGTAAAGGATTTTCATAATGAAAACAAAAATATAAGGAATTTAAAGTTAAACTGATATATTAAACATATGTCTATAAGGCTCCCAAAACTCCACTAAAATTACATCAAAGGGATTTTAAAAATAAATCAACAAAAACAAGAAGAACAGGAAATAAAGTAACAGCAGCAACATACTGAAAGATGGAAAACAGATGAACAAGGATAACTCACTACCCAGGCTATTAAAGCCAAATCCCAAACCAGAAGTGGAGAAAACAGACCCAACCTGACTCACACTGAAGAAGTCCCAGAAAGAAAAAAAAACAACAGGAACTAACACAAATTTAACTCAAGTCTTTATTTCCCAATTGGATAATTACTAAAACTGTTGAAACTTGTAACTTTATTTCCAAAATAAATTCTTTCTAGTACCTTCTACACAGTGCTAGAAAAAAAATGATTTTTTAAAACAAACTATATATTTTTAAACACAACTCTTATTTCATTCCACTGGCGAAAATTCTTGGTTGCCAAGCTATATGTCCTTGAGAACAAAGTCCCAAGTTCCTTATTTGGCAGACTCACTTCTCCATGACCCAACTCCCACTTACCTCTTACTATTCATTCAGAAAAAGTTAAAGGTCAGATATGTGTCAGACACTATAGAAAGCATTCAGTTCAGCTCAGTCACTCAGTTGTGTCCAACTCTTTGGGACTGCATGGACTCAGTTTTCTTTATAGTCCAACTCTCACATCCACACATGACTACTGGAAAAACCATAGCTTTGACTAGACAGACCTTTTTAGCAAAGTAATGTCTCTGCTTTTTAATATGCCATCTTGATTGGTCATAACTTTTCTTCCAAGGAGTAAGAGTCTCAATTTCATGGCTGCAGTCACCATCTGCAGTGATTTTGGAGCCCCAAACAGTAAAGTCTGTCACTGTTTCCACTGTTTCCCCATCTATTTGCCATGAAATGATGGGACCAGATGCCATGATCTTAGTTTTTTGAATGTTGAGTTTTAAGCCAACTTTTTCACTCTCCTTTTTCACTTTCATCAAGAGGCTCTTTAGTTCTTCTTCGCCTTCTGTGGTAAGGGTGATGTCATCTGCATATCTGAGGTTATTGATAATTCTCCTGGAAATCTTGATTCCAGCTTGTGCTTCATCCAGCCCAACGTTTCTCATGATGTACTCTGCATATAAGTTAAATAAGCAGGGTGACAATTCCTTTGAAAGGTGACGTATTCCTTTCCCTATTTGGAACCAGTCAGTTGTTCCATGTCCAGTTCTGACTGTTGCTTCCTGACCTGTATACAGATTTCTCAAGAGGCAGGTCAGGTGGTCTGGTATTCCCATGTCTTTCAGAATTTTCCAGAGTTTGTTGTGGTCCACAAGTCAAAGGCTTTGGCATAGTCAATAAAGCAGAAGTAGATGTTTTTCTGGAATTCTCTTGTTTTTCGATGATCCAACAGATGTTGGCAATTTGATCTCTGGTTCTTCTGCCTTTTCTAAAACCAGTTTGAACATCTGGAAGTTCACGGTTCATGTACTGTTGAAGCCTGGCTTGCAGAATTTTGAGCATTACTTTACTAGCATGTGAGATGAATGCAATTGTGTGGTAGTCTGAGCATTCTTTGGCATTGCCTTTCTTTGGAATTGGAATGAAAACTGATTTCCAGTCCTGTGGCCACTGCTGAGTTTTCCAAATTTGCTGGCATACTGAGTGCAGCACTTTCACAGCATCATCTTTCAGGATTTGAAATAGCTCAACTGGAATTCCATCACCTCCACTAGCTTTGTTCGTAGTGATGCTTCCTAAGGCGCACTTGACTTCGAATTCCAGGATGTCTGGCTCTAGGTGAGTGATCACACCATTGTGATTATCTGGGTCATGAAGATCTTTTTTGTATAGTTCTTCTGTGTATTCTTGCCGCCTCTTCTTAATATCTTCTGCTTCCACTAGGTCCATACCATTTCTGTCCTTTATTTAGCCCATCTTTGCATTAAATGTTCCTTTGCTATCTCCAATTTTCTTTACAAGATCTCCAGTATATATGTGTGTGTATATCACATATGCAAACATAATATATATTTAAAATTACTATTAAAGTGAAAATTAATACAAAAGAATTCAAATATTTAATTTTTTTTCAAGTATCTAATTCTAATTTGAGGGGTAAAGGGGGAGGAAAGAAAGAAAGGCATACGGGAAAACTGTTGATTTATCTTGACACCCAATGCTAATTTGCCTCTAGCATTAAACTCAACTCGAAAAGACTGACAAGGCGCCTAAAAAGTGCTTGTGAGCCTCTTTGCTGTTTTGTACAGAGCCTATTTGTAAGTTTTGAGGACAGAAAACAAGAGTTGGTGTGGGGTTATTTTACTTTGTAGAACTTAAGATGCCGGTTCTCCTCTTCCTGCCACATCTCTCAGATGTAATAGGCAGGATCTCAGGATTTAGGCTCTGTGACATGGATTTCGGGCTCAGTCTCCTCTGTCTGGCATCAGAACACCCTACCTGAGTCTTGGACGGAGTCGGCATCAATATCTATTTCCAGTTTGCCGCAGAAAAGCGTGGACCGCTAGGACAAAAAGCCAAAGAATACGCCCGCTGGATATCAAACCAGGGAGCCGGGGGCGGGGCGAGCCTGGGCCCCGCCCCTCGGCAAAGCCAGTAACTCGGCACTGGAGCGGGAGGGGCGGGGCGAGCCCTGCCGGCGACCTCGTGATTGGCACGCAGGCTCCCGCTCCCGGCGAGGCTACCCCTACCTATAGCCTGCCGGAGCTCTAGGCTAGTGCGGATCTACAAAGTTTGTCCGCTCCGGGGCACCGTAGTGACTTTTACGCTGGCGGAGAGGGCCCGGCTGGACTCGGCTGGGCTGGCCGGCTGGAGCCCGGCTCAGCTTAGGAGATCCTGATGGCTGCGGTGTTTCTCGTAACGCTCTATGAGTACTCGCCGCTTTTCTACATTGCGGTGGTCTTTACCTGCTTCATCGTGACCACCGGCTTGGTGTTGGGATGGTAAGTGTCCCCAGGACTAAGGGCAAGGGGCGTCTGGGCGGACAGCCAGGGAGATGGGTAGCGGCCAGCTGCAGGGTGACTGCTGGACTGTGGCTGTCGGAGAGCCGGTGCTGAAGGCTCCCACTGGCTCAGGAGGAAAACAAGGTGGACACCGCACCCGCATCACTGCCCTGCATCATCGTCCGATCGCCGTCGCTGCGGGTATCTGGGGATGGTGCAGGATTGAGGTATTTTACCCAGCTTTGTTTCTAGGTGATAACGCAGCCAGTAAGGGCTTGGGCTTGGTGTGAGGATAGAGAGGCTGTACAACAGGTTTCTGTCCGGATTTGGGGCCTACTGTGTGCCCGGAGTGAGCCCGTCATCTGCGGTACAGTGCTCAGACGGGACAGTAAACCCAGTTGTTCGTTGCTCTTCTGACCTGAACTGAGCACTTGCCTTAAGATCTCCCAGTGTAACTTATAACTGAACTCTGCACCGTTTGAGAATGTAATGGTTTCTGCACACATTCCACACCTTTTGAACGGTAAAACTATAAAGACATAATTTTAGAGTTGGGAGAGACCTCAGAGATAAGTTACACTAAAGTATAAGGGCACTTCACCTATTGGAGACTAGGAGAGGAGACTGTTAGCTCATCCGTGAGCTAGAATTAACTCAGAGATTCTAAAATTTCTCTCTCGAAGAGATGCCATTGTATCATGTTTAGAGTCGTATTATAATACAGCGAGCTGAAACCATCTTACAGGTCCATCCTTTGAGGAGAGAGACATGAGCTGAATTTTGAAGAGTATTTTGAAAAAGAAATGGAGCTAAACGTGTATAGTAGAGAACAGAAGGCATTTCAGAGATTACATGAGCAGAGGGTCAGAGGAGACATAGTGAATAGAGTAGGCTGTGTAATATGAGTTTTAAAATACCCTTTGAGCATGTATATGTGATTACTTTGGGCTTCCCAGGTGGCAGGGTGGTAAAGAATCCACCTGCCAATGCAGGAAACGCAGAAGATGTGGGAGATCTGGGAGGAAGATCCTCTGGGATGGGAGATGCCCTGGAGGAAGAAATAGCAACCCACACCAGTATTCTTGCCTGAAAACTCCCATGGACAGAGGAGCCTGGGGGGCTACAGACTGTGGGGTTACAAAGAGTTGAATACCACTAAGCAACTGAGCCTACACGTGTGATTACTTTAAAGAAGGAACACAAGCGCTTGTCAATTTCTAAAAATATGCCATCTTTAGGAACTAAGTAAAGTTTTTAACGTTTTCACACTGCTTTCCACGCTGTCAGCAGTAGATTATAAAATTCCTTCTTGGTTGGTGGGGGAAGAATAGAACCAATTTTACACAATCTGTTATTCTTGACACATCAGAATTTCTTACTGTTGTTCATTTCAAGAAAGTTTGTAGTTGGAGTTAGGAAGATGTTGTCTAAGTGAGAAGAGATGTCTAACAAGATTTTCATTGGCTATACTGTTACTGTCTTCAAGAGTATAATTTTTCTCCATTAAGAAAAATAAGTAGGGTGCCAAGAAAAAAAAAAAGAAAAATAAGTAACCAGTTGATAATTGCATAATATCCTTAAATTTTAATTTTCAATCAGCCTAATTTTTTTACAATTAATTTTCAGTTGGCCCGATTCAACTAATTAGAGATTTTAGATGTCTGTCTTTAGTAATGGGAGGAGGAAAATGAGTAAAGACCTATCGATAGTGATGGTGGCGTCTGTGAGTGAAGGGTAGTTCAGAACCTCGTGCTGGGGTGGAGTCAGACAGACAGGTTCAAATCCTGGCTCTGCCAAATTTCAGACTTCGTTTGAAAAATTAATGATTATCTAAACACTCCATTTAAGTATGACTTTTATAAGGATGGAGGCCCAGGTAGTTGTAGAACTTCAAGTAGTCTGAATTAAGCATGGCTGAGGCCACAAAATCATATAAGTGCCAGTCACTTCCATCCTGATTTGGGCCTAACCAGTCATCTTAAGCCTAATCCAGCCATTCTCTCCATATGGGTTAGCTTTGCCCATGTAGATAACCTTATTATTATTGTTTTTTTAAACTAGTGTTTACAGTGAAGGCCATCTAGAGCTCCTCAAAGTAATTTTCTAATAGTACCCCGGGCATAAGGCAAATGCATTAATCTGCCGTGCTTTTTCACTGTGCTTGTCATTTTCTTTAACCTCCCCCAATATAATTTCTATTGGTCGTCTGTCTTCTCTGTCATAGTTCTTACCTCAGTACTGCCTTGCATTTCTGTCCCATTGCTTAGTTCCTTCCCCTGTCTTTCACACTATGTGGGAGTAGAGGAAGAACAGGCGCACCTGACTGTTGGAATCCCAGTCCCAGTAGCAAAGAATAACACAACGGAAATTACTGAATTTCTGTTTAACTACGTGATGGTTTCTGTGAGCTCTGATACTCAGATTTATCAAGCTCTAGCTATTTTGCCAGGCAGTGTGCAGAAAGGAGGCCAGAGTGCCATATACATCCTTAAATAGTTTCAGGTAATTCGTGATCCTGACTCTGCAGCTGCTCTCTGCTTCCTCTTGACTGCAGATTATTAAGCTATTATCCTTCTGTACTTTGCTTGGTGACTGCGGTGCAGAACCTCTAAAGACCTTTCTTCTTTGCTAGCTCACTGCTTCCATGAAGCTTTGCCAGTAGGGGAAGGGAGTAGAAGGCTAGAAAAGGACAGAAGGACTTTCTGTTTTTGTCTCACCACAGCTATGGTGCCTCTCTCTGGCCTTAACAGTGGGTCACAGTTTATTGTTTTCTACGCTTTTAGAACTAGCCTCATTATACCCCTCCAAAGATTTCAGTACACCTTCCTCAGATCTGAGTCCCAGCTGCACGGAGGTCTTCCTTCCAAATCTCTAAGCAGTAGGAATCCTCTTTGCTCTGTTCTGTGTCCTGGGAGTGATAGTTGCTTCCCATTGTAACTAATTCTGTGACACTCAGTGTCTCCTTTTTGCCTTTTCAGTTCTTCGACATCTGGCTCACAAATTTTTATGTTAAATTATCTGTTAAAATGCTGGTGTGGCTTTGGTCTCTTGACTGAACTGATAAATATTAATATATTGATTAAGAATTTGTTACTCAGAATGGGATCCAGGGGGGGAAATCCTTTACGGATGGGATTTGGGTTTGGTCATCTCTTCAGCTCCTTGCCAATGGGAAATAAGAATCTAGTAATCCATGGTATGGATTGGCATCATGAATAATCAGCTTTCCCTTTATTTTCTTGTGATTAATGATTTCTGAAGCTAAGTGCCTTGGGGGACTAAGTGGCTGAAGTACATTACCATTATGGCAGCAGTGATACTGCAGAGACTGGGGAAGGGTGGGATGGTTGCTCGTGGGGCCACTGGAGCACTTACAGAAAGAAAATGACATGTTCGTGTCTTTAAACTCTCAGATCAAGTCTTAGTCAGAGAATCAGTTTTAATGATGCTAAAGCTCTTTACTTCATGTAGCCACAAAGCTGCACAGTTTTATTTTTTTATTTTATTTTATTTTATTTTTTTATTCGAAAAAGCTTTGTTATTCTAGAAGACAGATAGCTCTGTGGGCTCTAAGAGGCTGGCAAGTTTTATTTTTTTTTTATTTTTATTTTTTTATTTTATTATTATTATTATTTTTTCATTTATTTTTAAGCTGCACAGTTTTAACCGTGCTGGTATTAGAATTGCATAGCCTTGTCAATGTCCTGTTTAGGACACTGACTAGGAAAGAGTCAGAGCCCTGAAACTTGCAATGGCAACATTGCGCTTAGAGCTGAGAATCCTGAAACCCCAGTCACTCTGTGTGTGCCTCCCTTGTTGATGGAAGCAGCTTGCTTTCCATGTCTGAGAAAATTAGCCTTCTCTTGCTTGAAGATCCTGTAATACTTCTCTTAGGGCAGCTGCTTTGCAAACAGTGTCTATACTCAAAACCTACCTCTGTAATCTTGTCCTTAGGCCTAGATCTCTTCATGTTCCACAGAACAGGGACAAAACCTGACCTAGTTAGAAAGAACCAAGCCTCTAAAAGAATAACAAAAGTTGGCTAATTTGTATTCGTGTGAATTTGGGAAGTATGTATGGGAATGAAGTGTAAATAGATTAGGCCAAGGAGGATAGAATGTAACAATGGATCAAGTTACATTTATTGATCTGGATGTATTCTTAAAAAATTCTGACTTTAAAGTGTTAACTTGTATATGGTTGACTGAAACTTGGACCAGGAGCTGCCCTATATTTAATAAAGCTGAGATGCTAGAACGTTCCTGGCATAATGAAGAGGAAATCTGAAGACTTAGGAAGATAGGAATATTGGACTGGATTTATTATGTGCCACCTGCACACCTGTCCTCTTACTGCATCCTTCAGCATGACCTGGAAGACACATTTCACAAAGGCACTAAGAAGAGACTGGTGGCCTTAAAAATCTCCGGTGCCTGTCCACTGTGGGTCTTTTATGATGTGGGAGATGCTGCCGTTCGGGTGGACCTCCTGATCTAAAGTGCAGTGACAACACATAACCACAGGAGTCACCATGGACTTCTGTCCCCTAATGGGCAGTGGAGGGCAATGCAGAGAATGACTTGGCCCACAAGGATCTCTTAACAGTGGCTAATGGATTAGAGCGTCCTTAGGAATAAAATAGATAGGTGGCCTCCTAAGTCCTTCATCAAGTACACAGAATGAGAAACTCCAGGCTGGAACTAGAAAGCTGACTTGTCACAGTGGGGAGTTACGACCTTTATGGGGAATTATGACCTTTGGCCTACTTTTCAAATCTAAGTCAATCCATACACCTGGAGCCCCTGCTCGATGGTGAGGTCAGGTCCTCTCGAGGAAGGTCTCTGTCTCCTGAGTACTGCCCCGAGGGTACTGTGAATCTTCCATCAAGTCTCAGAGTTTGTTGTCTCTCAGCTGCAGAAGTGCTGTCTGTACTCTGCTTTTGATTCTGGAGCTGGGACTGTGCAAAGCTGTTTCTCTTATGCTAGTTTGCTCCCTGTTAG